CCTTTTCTTTGAGTTTTTCATACAGAATTTTAATTAGTGCTTGATTGTCCCATTGATAGGAGATAAAGAGAAGCGGAGAGTTTCCTTTTGGTATTAGAGATTCACGCGAGTGTTGCTTCATTTCCAGAGGAGGATCCATCCAACCAAAGTAAGGAGAGTCTTTTTTGATTAATTTCATATTGGGCACTACATGGATACGCAGTTGCATTAAAAGTTCACAGAATTTCTCTGGTTGCCAGAAAATACTTGAGTTGTTGATTTGTTCAGCTTTTTGATAGAATTTAATGTATAAATATTCAGCTAAAATTGGACCCAAAGGGCCACTAGGTGGCCAAGATAAATCTTCCATTAGCAATGGAATAATTACCTTTCCAAGATTGGTCGATAGATTAATTTCGCGGCAACAATTTGCAGATTTCGCGTATTTTAGACTTACACAACTTAGAATGACTTCAGCTGACCTAATTCCATCATCTATCTTCTGGAAGAGACTATCACCTCCACCCATTTGACCGATATCCATCCAGGCTTTGAAGCCGGCTTTCTCCAAATGGTTGCAAAGTAGTTTAATCTCCTTCTGATGACCCCATTGATAGCTGATAAATACTTTTGGTTTTTCCACCATTTCGACTTTTTCATCTTTAACAATGGATTTTACTGATTCTAGGGCATCTTCAACAATCTCGGCTGCATCGAGTCTATCCATGTCTTTTAAATTTTTTAGGATGGCGAATGTCGCCTCCTTTGTCTTATTGGTAGCAAACCATTCATCAAGTAAGGAAAGACACGGATCAGGTTGAGTAGCCCAATTTCTGACATCGTCCACACCATAATTGAGTTTTAATGCCAGTAATCTCCAATCGTTGTCACTTGGTTTATTCATAAGATCGGAAAGGTGACGAGACCAAGAAGGAGCATGGCTGAGAGTCATATGACTTAGTTGTTCAACTTGTTCATCAAGATTTTTCACATTATATTCAATTGTTTTAACTTGACTTTTCATCATTTCCACATCTCCTGCTACGTCTTCAATCCTCTCTTTAGTCTTTACTAAATCACTGTCAAGGGATACTATCTTATCACTGTTGTCAGTGACTCTAATATCCAAATTTTCCAATTCATCTTGATGAGCATCTAAAATTTTTGCAACGCCCTCTAGACTCCTCCCTTCCAGAACATTAATGATGTATCTGACTAAATCAGCCATAGGACCATCTTCTAGTTTTAGCAGTTCATCTTTATAAATAGCAACCGGTTCTTTAAATTTACAAACAATGTCTTTCAAAGCTGATAGTAGAAGGAAACGATGTTCAGTTTTTACTTTGTAGAAAATTTCCCATATCAAATTTGTATAAAATGTTGCCAATTCTTGTGTTTCAACCAATTCAGACACATTACTGGCCACAAATAGACCATATTGGTTTGAACTTTTTATTAACTTGCCAAGTCTTTCATGATAATTGGCAAACAAGTCCTTCCTACTGGACATGAGTTTATACATTACATTCAAAACGAAATTTGAATTTTCTCCATCCAGATTCTCAAATGTAAATTCAAGAAATTCCTCATCCAATACACTAGGATTGTGTTGTATTATTTTTTCAACTAGTTCCATAAATTCGAATAGTGCGTGGTTGGGCAGATTTTTGACAGTGGCCAATAAGTATTGAAAATTTTTATGAATATAGTTTGATTGTCTTGGATACATTTCAACGATTTTGGCTATCGAACGGACAATATGAAGTATATTACTATTTCAAAAAATGCATTTACCTAGACTGCTTTCATCACCAGCAAGAAAATTGTCCACAAGTTGTCTTTCAGCATCAACTTTCCTCTCAACTGTCAACTCATAGTTTGAATAAACCTTTTCGGCTGAGACCTTTATTCATAAAGTTATCATTATTTACTTATTGTCATTGCAAAACAAAAAAAAAGTACTTGGATTTCAATATCATCATCTTGATCCTTTAGCTTCTCAATAGTTTCAATGACAGGAGGGAGAAACTCTTTAAGAAATTTACACTGTACAGTAAAAGATGAAAGATTTTATTGACAATTCATAGAGAGAGTGAAAATTGAATATCATTAAATACTTCATTATAGAATGTTTCAAGACACTTTAGTAAAATATGAGCAGCAAGTGTTTTTTTCCTCTCTGAGCCTACGCAGATATTCAAAGGAAGCTTATAACAGTTGTTGAAGAGATTTGATAAAGGTGTCTTTATATCGCGAATTTTAACATTTTCTCTGTTAGAAAATATATCATTTATATAAAGAGAAATAGAAATTGGAATGGATAATGGAATTGGAATCACATATCCTAATCCCAAAACAATCAGTACTCTGAATCCAAAAGTATCAAAAAAACAAGAAAACTTACTGGTATGATGTCCAAATACGATCAAACAAAACGCTGACTTGATTAAAAACATCTCCATTGCAGATTATAAGTGGATTATCTACTTTTTCTATCTTAGCCTCGAGTTTATGAAGAATGTTTACAAATGTGTTGAAATATGGCTTTTGAAGAAGAAAAATATATAAATGTTGAAATAAAACAATGGAATCTTTTACCTCCCAGTTAAGAGATCTTTGAAGTGAGCATAAACTTTCAAAAGTATGGTAGGAGGAGAAATCAAAAGATTTTTCAACATAATATATCATATCTTTCATCAATTTGGAATAGCCATTAGTATGGCTGTGTATATAATTAATTAATTATATATTGTTTGTTAATTGAAAAACAATGACATTACGCTAATGCCTTGTCTACCGCCAATGAAAATGAGCCATATTCTCTATTTCCTTTTGATGATTGATCGACTTCCAATGAAAATATTACATCATAACAATATTTGAATAATTCTGGATATTTGTTAAAGTTTAAAAGATTTAAATTCTTCCGTAGGAATTTCTCAATTATTGATCTTTGAGGATTTTCCACAATACTCTTCAGGAATAATTTTCTCTTTTCCATATCTTTTCTGTACAACAGTAATCCTTTGAAAGGAGAAAAGATTAGGAGAAAGAGGATGAGTGATAAAATGCATTTTTCTTGTTGATGCTGCACTATATTCCACTCATTCTCTTCCTGAAAAAATTAATATCTACATACGTAAATGTTTGAAGAAGACTGCTATCAAAATCTTTACTATACAATTTAATAAATTCGTCATTGTGCCTCCTGGTTTCAACTAAGCTCATATCATGGAGAAATGCTGCAACGTCATCCTTCTTGGTATCATTATTAGTATCCATCGAAAGTGATTATAATGTGAGATTTTTACAATTAAAACTGACTAAATCTTCTTTACTTATATATTCTGTTGACAGGCAAAATAGTCAGTCAGAAACTATAGTTGCTATGTTCGCGGGAAATGCTGACAGTTAATCAATATTAAAAATGCTTGCCTACACTGTATGACTAATAAGAAAACTGCCAATACAGACAATTTTATTTTTGGAAAGATTTAACAAAATATCCATACGAGTTGCAATTTCGTTCATACTGCTTGTCCATACATGCCTGTAGTATTTTATAAACAATTTCAAATTTTTCTTTCTCTTTATTGATTGATTTATTTTGTGCAGTTTTGATGTATGGCGCTTTTGAATAAATTTGAAAATTCACTTAAATATATACTATTTATAATTACTGTTTTTGATTAATTAACTGAGAAGATTTGTGGATGTTTTCTGTGGCATCTCATGTTCGACTGTGAGTATTAGCATAGAAATGATTCATCTAAAGTCTTATAAGAACTTATTTACAAAATTCTAGTGTTTAAATAAAAAAACTTTTATTGAGTACTTTGATCATTTATTTCTAGGTAACCAGGTGGAAAACTAGAGTAACATCTTTTTTTATGGTTTAAAAGCTTCCTATGATTTTAGCAGTTTACAACTTCAATGTTCCAATAATGCAAAGTAATGTTTAACAAAATTGAACCATTAAACAAATGTTTAATTTAAGGGACTTTTGCAAAAAAACGTTCTTAAGCAGGATGGTTAATTTGTAGTAGGAAGGAGCTAAATTACCAAATGTTTACGAGTAGATCCCTGTTTCCAACAATGTTTTTAAATATAACAAATGAGAGTGAAATATCTGCTGAAGGATAAGTCAAGGTTAAAGATAAAGGAAGTATGACAGAGCCATGCTGGCTTAAATATCATTTTAAAAATATTGACCAAATAAAGTACGATTTATGTGTTCATATGAGATATGACTCAATTCATTCTTTACAATGATTGATTGTGTGTAATGACAAATATTTGTCACTTGTATATGAACAAAGACGGATTGACCTCATTTCAATCAATAAAATCATAGATAGAGCTCAATAAGTTGGATAATTTATAAAAGAAGCTAACAATAACTGGTAATACTCTTGGAGTGGCCTTTAAATTTTCCAGCAGATGAAAAAACAAATATATTTTATCAAATGCTTTTTGTGGACAAATGTTTGAATCTATTAATTTTAAAAGTGTAGATAATAACAAGTATGGAGTATAAATATAAGTTTGGATTAATAAAAACATGAGCATATTTAGAACTTTTCTTTGTCATAAAATGTTACTTTTTTTCCAATAAACAACTTGAAATAAATTTTGAAAGAAAAATATTCTAAAAAGAACTGTACTGGCTGCAAGTACAAACCCATCATCAAATTGTCTGAACTCGTTTTTATTGTTGTTATTTCATTTGAGTTGTAGTGCCTACTTTTTTATTGGTCACATTTTTAAAGAAAAATCATAACATACATTATTTAATTCAGAAAGAAAAATAGTTAGATTCATTGTTAAGTATTTTAAAATAAATTGAAGTTAAGGCTAACACTAAAATTAGATCTGTAATATTTGATTATTCAAGTTAAGTGTTCCATTTTTCTGGGAAGAGGATATCATTTATATCCATTAGCCAATAATCATTATTATATCTCTTTACTATCTTTGAAAGAACCAGTCTATTATTTACTATGACAGAAGAGTCCATATCATTTTCACTCCCTTGAGCATTGAGTTAAAGAACTGAACTGTTAAGCTGAGGAAATGCATTTCCTTTTATACATTTGCCAAACCTTAGGTTCATTTGGTCAAAGGATTACAAAGTTGAAATGTAACGGTCTCATAATTCACATATAAAAAAAATATGAAAGACTGTTATATCACACATATAAAATATAATCTTCAGATTATGGTTAACATGTGGCACTGCAAAAACAAACCTGCCTCTTCAGCATCTGTTTTTGACATGCATTTTTTCTACATTGTTTATTCCTTTGTTAATTCAATAGTGACATCATCTGTTATTGTCAAAGAATCTCTTTTCTACAATGAGTGAAACAATAAGAACAGATTTTTCCATTAGATAGTCAAGTATATAATTATCTATAACTTGCTGTACAATAAGCCCGTCTAAAGAACTGATAGGATCATCAATTAAAAAATTTCTGCCTTTCTATAAACAGCTCTAGCAAATGATATTCTAGATTTTTGACCTCCCCTAAAAATGAGCTCATTTTCTCCAATAATTGGTTTATCACTGTCTGGAAAGTTTTCTAAATTCTTTTGAACTTATAAACAAACAAAAAAACCAACAATAGAAAGACTATTTTTGTTGCTGTATTCTTATTTTTAGTCCCAAATTATAATTACACAAGACAGAGAGAAAAGGAAAACTTACTACAAGCATATATATTTTCTTTGATTACTTTTCATCAGCATTATATTAAACTTGAATAGTTGGGCAGTATTTGCCTTTTAAAGATTTACAAGCACCTAGACCAGTATGATTTCTACATGTTTCGCAGGCACGAAATATTTCTTTTTCTTTTTTCAGTAGCTATTCAAATACAATTGTAAACAAAAGATGTTAAATGAAAAAAACACAAATTAAATGAAGAAATAAGATTGACTTACCAAATGTTGTAATGACAAATTATCATCCTTAAATTCTCTTTCATACAATTCGTTCACCAGTAAATCATCCCATGGAGTAGAAATTGCTTGATGAATGAACAGGAAAACAAGGAAAATTGTAATTAAAGTCATCATAGTGTTCTGTTGCACTTGACGAGCACTTCCAATAGAGCAATTTATGTACTATATATATGCAAGAGACATGCCCTATGTTGTGAACAATTTAGAACTGGTCTCATTTAATGCCAGACCTTATTGCCCTGAACTATTTTAAAACCAATCTTTTTATATGCAATACCTATTTATAGCCCTCAACTACTTTTATGCTAATTTTATTTAATGCAATAACTTTTCATAGTGAAAAAGCTTCTGAACATTTTGCATGTCAGTTTTTTTAGACTATAGAATTTATAATCTTATTTGTCTATTAAGGCTTTTAGGGTTAAGGTAAAACACCAAATAATGGGCTATTATTTCCCATACATATTTACTGTACTGTTAAAAATTCTGTGCTTTTATCTCTAAGCAAGCAGTTAGAAAATTAAGGTACTAACTGTTAAATTTGTAGGGTTTTATATAATTTTCTATGAGTTTATCAATTCAAGTTAGAATTGAGAAAACACCAGCTTGACTTGACAGAAAAGATTTGCAAAAGATATCAAAGTCTTAGCTGTAATCTATTTCTAAAATAATGAATCATTTTGCCTGTTTAACAACAGTACTAGATTTTTTAGCATATAAAATATCTAATTGAAAAAAGAATTGTTGAATTTACAACTTTTAATAGATTGGTTGTGAAAGAGATGGTGTTGAATTTCGTATATGAAAATGTGAATTTTTGGCAATTTTAAATTCCTTATTACAATTATGACAAGTAGATATATACATTGTACTCAAATTATATTAAGAGATGAACACCAAAAAATATTAATTTACAAAAGTCTTAAAAATACATTTTTCTATAAGAATCATTGATAAAAGCCAGGTAATTTTTTCAAAATTTTCAAGAAAGATATTCGTTCAAACAATGAAACAGTATTAGTTTTTGCAACTGAACATCACTTAAAACTTTTGTATAAGGCTAAAACATGGATGGTACTTTCAAAATTGCAGATCCATTTGTTCAACAATGTTTACTTTAACTCCAAATCAGTTTAACAAAATTAAAAGTGAACTGGCTTAAAAAAAGAATTTGGACATTTAATGGAATAAATAGAAGACAATGGAATAAGGGTAGCTTTTGGCCTCCAGAGACTTGGTCTGTTTTTTACTAAGCAGTCAGAACCAATGATTTTCTGGAAGGATTTTATAACAGATAAATGAAAACATTGGAGCAAACTTGTTATTTTACATGACTATTGATGAATTAAAGAGGGAGGCTGAGTTAATTTGTATATATGAAAAATTGATAAGTGAAAGGAAAATGTTGCAAATGCAAAGAAAAGTCTATTCAAAAATTTAACATTATATTTTTTCCATTTGGAAAAATTTGAAAGTTGGTGACATCACAGCAAGCCACCTTTTTGATGTTTGTTCAGCTTTAAATTATTAAGTATGTACATTATCAATTCATCTGTATTGAAAATATATAAGATTGTTTAAGATATATGAAAATATATGTATTTTTCTTTTAAATAAACTATTTTATTGGCAACTTTAAAAGTTTGAATTTTTCTGTAAAATCATTATCTCATAAATCAAGTATATGAAATAACTCATTTTTGTAATATTTTATACTTTTCTTAAAAATGTTACATGATCACATCTCCATTTTTTAAAGCATGTTGTTTGACCACTTGTGTTGACATATTGTCCGATCTATATAAGTTTTGATATTAAGGGAAAACAACAACTTGTACAACTCCTTAATCATTGCCCAAATTCTACAGTCGCGATAATAAATAATTAGTACAAAGAAAAAAGGTTTATAATGTGATTATTTGGTGTTATATAATTTTGATTTGTCTTATCACCATGTTAAATCTGTAAGTGAAGTCTTGGTTGAAAAACTGTAAAAGTTAGTTAATTTGCTTCCTTTTTAGAGTTGAATTTTGGAAGGGCCTATTTTTCAACTCTTCCATTTCAACTTGTATTTGCATAAAACTTTTTGACATCAGACAATGATATCTGAATAGACACAGTACAGTTTTGTAAAATTTCTTGTGCTGTCAAGTTTGGTTTAAATCTTCATTTGTTTGTAATCTAAAATTCTATTTTCCTTGTTATTGTTTGTGATCTGGGAGATAATTGTAACGTCAAAGCAACTGTCTTCAAATTACTTAAAACCTTGTCAAATAATCTAGACCATAAACATATTTTGGTCGTCAAAAAATTCACATGTTTAAAACTTTTTATCCCTAGTTATAATTACTTATTATCGTGACTGTATATGAGCCACAGTTGGCCATCTAAGTTTATATGCAAAAAATGCAACAAACAACATCACACATCTTTA